TTAGAGGATGCCTAAGTCCGTGCAGCTGTACTGGCATATGGGAAAACGAGGACTTCTGTATTTCTCGCACGCAAGACTTAGGGTATTTTATCCTCTACTCACCTGAAGAGAAGCATCAGGGCTTGGAGGAAGGTGCGGAAGTTATTGTGCCGATTAATGGAGGTTTCGTCATCTAGTGCAATGTTTCCAAACACCTGCCACAGAAAACAGAAGCGATTCAGGCCAAACGCCGCCTCACGTGGAATTTGTCAGTAAAGGGAGGTCAAGTGACGTTGGAAAAAAAGGCGGGAAAAGAATTTGTTCTGGTTTAAGGCGTCTCAAAAGCTAGAATAGTTACTGTGCTGAAGAGAGAGAGAAAAAAGTGTGGTAGAGATCGAATGGGAGGAAAAAATATCAGTACTTCATCTTCACACAGACCCTTTCCAATACCACAGTTCGGCTCCATCCCAGGCCAAGAAAACTGTTCCATTTATTTTCGGGAAGGTGCAGTGCCCGAGCTGCTCTCAGCCCCTCCATGTGCCCGTCCCGGAGGCAGGGAGGTGTCTCCCACTTCCACCTCCGGACATGCAGGCTCGGAACCCGCAGCCAGTTCACCTGCCCACGCTCGCCCTTTGCACCCCCAGAAACATCTGTACGCCCAGGGCCATGTTCAGCACAAGACCTGGCAATAACGGTAGAAAAAGTGGCTTTTTTTTTTTTTTTTTTCACTTCTAATTCATCTGACACGGGACTTTCACCTCATCCTACGTCAGATCCTGCTGCAGAGGCAATAATCCATTTGCACCCTGAACCAGAGGGAGAAAACCAGGCTACTGATGCTCCATATTAAAGCTGGAATTTTACCTGCATGCCAATAATGGCGTAGATGAAGAAGAGCATTGCAATGAGGAGACACACATAAGGCAAGGCCTGTGGGAAAGGAGACAGTGTCAATGACAGCAAATGCATACATCAGCCAGTAGCATTTAATTCCTGGGCAGCAGCATGTTTTGTGGGATTTATCCTTCAGATGAAGGAACTGGGAAGAGAATACGATTCTGGCAGCCAGTGGAAGACAACCCCCTGGAGCCAGATATGTGTCCATCACAAAAGAGTCTGGGTTTTCCAAGGGCTCCCTATACATCCTTGCAAGCAGATAAGCAGTAAGCAGAGAAAACACAAGCAGCAGCTCGGCAGCAAGCACTGGAGCTACCGGCAGGCACTGGCACTTCCTATGCATAATTGTACAAACATTAATTTTTAATGACCTCGCTGTAAATTTAGTACGAGGGAAAAACAAAACCAAAAACATCCAAGAAACATGTTCCTGCTCTGAAACAGGCACAGATTGCAATCCCAGGGCGAGAAAATATTCCGAGTTTTAGCAAGAAATCAGTGAAGGCTACAATGTAATTATGTCACCCAAGCTGAGACTAATACCTATTTGCCACTCAGGCTAAACGAAAGGGTAATTAACACCTCTTAATTACTGATAGCTAAAAGAAGGAGAAGCCTTGCCCGAGGGCTAGAGCGTGTGATGCTCAGGGCAGGAGATGGGTCGAGCAGCCCACGAGGAGCCCCACAGGAAACACGGTGCAAAGGGCTGATGTGGTTTCTGCTGGACACCTTGGCACAAGAGAGAAGGATGGAGACCTCAGCGCTGGGGGACAGACAGACATGTAGCTCCCCACGCAGCCCAGGAACCACCCCGACTCTGCTTCAGGGGCAGCACTGTGCACACACTGTGGAAAGGGGCAGGATTATGCTGAAAAGGGCCTTGGCTGAGCCCCTCTCCCAAGATCCAGCCAAGACTACACAGTCTGAGCACCTTCCTCTGAGTGGGAACATCTTACACCTGTAGACTCCACATCTCGGCTGCTGGTAGAGGTTCTCCTGGCTGCAGGATTCCTCGTGAGTTCCATGGTGAGAGCAGCAGCAACACCACCTCCCTCCACCCTCAAGGAAAACATGACCTAACAAACCTACGGCACTGGGACCCCCCCAAACCGCAGTCCCTTTCCATCAGCTGCTCGACAGCTGGGTGAAAGCATAACGCAGAAGTTGAAGGCGAGAGCACCAGCAACCTGTCTGGTGTCTCCCAGAGGGACGTACAGTGTCATACAACACTGTCCCCCAGCCCTGGCCATGGGATAACAGCATGGATGTCTGCAGTTCTTCTTCAGGTTGCTTGTAGGAAGAAGCAATCTCTACGTTCCCATCTCCATCCTCCAAAAAGGTTTTGCCTCCATAGTCTAAAAAGTCTAATAGAAATTTCCTTCTTGACCAGCTCCGGTGCAAAGCAATAGCCATGTTCATGCTCTGCTGAAACCAGTTCTCCATCCCAGTTCTCTTGCAGCCGGTGCGGGGCTGGCCAGCGCTCCCTAAGCCTGGGGCAAAGCCACCCGGAATCTTTCTCCAGCCATGGAAGAGAAATGCCTGTCTTCTCTTAAACAGGCTTGTCCATTTTTGGAGAAAGCACACTTCTGCCCATAGTTTTATCACCTAAAATAACCTCCCTGCATCATTCTGACTCAGATGCCATGATGTATTTCAAAACGCAGCTAAAGCAAAAGACACCAGTTGCTCTGCATCCCACTGTGCTCCACGTCATTAGATACAAATTGCCACCATAACACCTTCCAGAAAGCACCGTGCAGAACACCCTACCATTGCACCAACCTGCAGACAAGCTCCCCTGAGCTTGCAACAGCACCCAGGACATCAGCTATCACCCGCAGAACTCAGACCTCAGCCCAGAAGAAGGTGGGACCCTGTGCAAAGCCAGAGGTAGGTGCCCAGGCTGGCTGAGCCACCTGCCAGCGCACAGGCAGTGCTCTGGAGTGGGACATCCCGCCAGCAAGCAGGAGGTGAAGTTCACAGGCTGTGGCTGTGAGCTCACAAACAGATCCATCTTTGGATGCTTCCTGACCTCATTGTGCTTTGCTTTCCCACATTACCTCTCTTGTTCACAGAATCACAGACTGGTTAGGGTTGGAAGGGACCTTCAAGATCATCCAGTTCCAACCCCCCTGCCATGGGCAGGG